ACAATTCACTGACTGCCTTCAGTGTGAACCAGGTTGGGTGAGAGTGTCTTGGTGTCTGTGGTGGTTCCAGCTGTGCTCCTTCTGTGTGGTCCTTGTCAGTAAGCCACTTCCCCAGCTCTACCCACAATTTCAAGGTTAGATTAAGCTAGTTGCAACCTGGTTGTTGTGTCAATGGGTATTTTGAATGGATGATCCAGACTAGTTACTAAAAGCTTTATATTCTTCTCATGTTTTGTTGTTTTTTAAGACAGGGTCTCACTACATATTCCTGCCTGACATGTAACTCACTTTGTAGACCAGGGTAACAGCAAAGTCATAGAGATCTGCCTGTCTCTGCCTCCAGAGTGCTAGGTTTAAAGGCATGTACCACCACATGACCAGCCCTAGGGCTTTATATTCTTTTTGGAATTTCTTATTCTCTTGTCTCATATTTCATCACAACACTTTCTCATTACATACACACACACACACACACATACACAAACTTATGTATTCATTTTAATGTAGTTCATCTTTACATATTATTTTTGGTTTAAAATCCTTATTGTAAAATTCAGGAAAAGAACAAGAGCTAAGATGTTTTAGTAGAGTTAGGATCAGACCCCCCAAAAAAAATTCTTGAAAATTAAAGGATGATGCAAACATACATACAAGACATATATAGAAACGTATCAATGGTAATTGCTAGTGAGAGGGACTCAGATGTGCCACTTCAAAGTATGTTACTTTGGATCTGTCAGTGATGCCACGCACATGTGATTCCAGTGCTTGCAAGATAGAGACAGGGAAACAAGAGCTCAAAGCCAGACAGGGCTACGGGTGACCCTGCTTCAAAAAAAATTGTTTTAAACAATTAAGTCCACACAAAGATTATTTTGGGCTGAGTAATTTGAGCAATTAAGACACTGCAGATTAAGCCAGGGGGTGGCAGTGCAGCCCTTTAATTCCAGCAGGAAAGCAGAGGCAGGCAGATCTCTGAATTTGAGGCCAGCCTGGTCTACAGAGTGTTTCCAAGGTTACATAGGGAAACACTGTCTCAAAAAAATATCTTTTAATTAAAAAATAAATAAATAAACAAAGACACTGCAGATGTAAAATGAGCTTCCTGCTTTCTCCCTTTCTCCAGAAGCGCAGCTTAAGTTTCGTCTTGTAACTGTAACACAAACTTCAGTATGCAAAAAATAAGTTGCAATGAATATTTTCCCACATGTGACTGTTTCTATTTCCCTGACCAAGCAGAGAAGACAGCTCACCACTGTAAGCAGCATCAGCTGGAGTCTGTAGAGGCCTTGCTACCAGCGTCTCATCTCCGCTAGCTTCCCCATGTGCTCGTCTCCTCAGTCAGTCCCCTAGAAGCCCAAGCTCTCCCTTTAATCACTTTCCACGACTGCCTTCTGTTAAAGTGATGTGTATGTTCCAGGACCAAACCTTCTTTAGTATTTCCTTCTTTTCTGTGAAGTTTCATTGTGCATGCTAAATAAACTTACGCCCTATTTTAAAAAGTAGATACTAATGATGAAGAAAACACTCATGATAAAATAACAGGCAGTGAAAGAATCATGGATAATTTTGTAGATTAACAGACTCAAACTGACTCTTTGACTGACTGTAGAATTTGCACAAAAGCTGAGGGGGTGCCTCGGTTGGTAGAGGGACCTGCATGGGTTTCCAGCACTGTCTGCATACCTGGCATGGTGGGGACACCTTGTAGTGTCAACAACCCAGACGTAGGAAGATCAGACTCAACCATCCTTGGCTACATAACAAGGCCAAGACTAATTGCAGACTACTGGTCATACCTCAAACAGATGCAGTTAACTACATCTGTGTTTTGTATTTAAAGGGTGTTTTGCCTTTTATTCTTTTTCTGTGTGTGTGTGTGTGTGTGTATCTGTGGTATGTGAGTTTGTGTGTTTATGTATGGTATGTATGTGATATGTGTGTGTGCATGTATGGGGTGTGGTGTGTGCCATATGTGTGTGTGTGTGTATGATGTGTGTGTGTGTACGGTGTGTCTGTGTGGTCTGTGTATATTATATGGGGGGGTGAGTGTCTCTACATGGTGTGGTATATGTGTGTGCGATGTATGTGTGTGCATGTGTATGGTGTGTGGTGTGTGTGTATGTGTATGGTATGGAGGGCTGTATGTGTATGTGTGTATGGTGTGGTGTGTGTGTGTGTGTGTGTGTGTGTGTGTGTGTACATGTGGAAGGCAAGGGCACCTTAGAGGAGTCAGTCCTCTCTTTACACCTTGTTGAGGAGGGATCTCTCTTGTTTCAGCCATACACTGTGCTCCAGGCTAGCTGTTCCAGGGTCTTCTGTGCCATTCTCGTGTCCCCTGCTCCCAACTCTATCCTCATCTATCCTCACTTCCCATCTCGCTGGCCAAGGAATGCTGAGGTTGCAACTGTGCACCAGGATATCAGGCTTTTTAACCTGGTTTCTGGGAATTGAACGTGGATCATCAGGTCACATGAGTGCCAGCCCTGTCCACTGAGTCAAGTAGGACTCTTTGACTATTAAACTCATTTTTCAAACCAATGCATTACTAAACTAAATTGGTTTGCTATTTGTTGATGTTCAGTAAAACGGAAAACTTGTGGACAGGCAACACAAGGCTTTGTTGGAAGCCACACTCCACTATAGCTGTGAGATTTCTCTGTCATTTAACCTCTGGAGATCATGAGAACTCTACCTGGGTGTACATGATATTATTACACTATGACCTGTTTAATTTTGCTTTGGTTTTTAATTTTGTAATTAAGTAGAATATCAGCGCATTTCACTCTCATCTCTCCAGCCATTCCCATGACCTCCTTAAGATACATGGTCTCTTGTTCTTAAATTCCTCTTACATGTATAAGTATATGTATGTAAAACTTTAGTCTGTGGTTTTTACTACACACTCCAGTGAGGGAGAGGTTACAGTGTTGCTACTGTTGTAGTGCTGGAACTGAAGTCAGCCCTTTGTATATGCTACTGTCCAGTGCTCTCCACGGACCCCACCTCCACCCAAATGAGGTTTCACCACTACTTAGTTTCTTTCCTCTTCTGCCATATTTCTTCCTTCCTCTCTTTCCTTGGCTTTCTATTCTCTCCTCCTTCATCTCCACATCTCTGTCCTTTTATAAAGGGCATTAAATAATCACAGAGCCATGTCTAGGGAATATTAATAAATCAAAATTACGACAGAGAGAATGATTTCCCTGCAGATACCAACCTTCATGCTTAAAAATCTGTGATAATGAACATGACCCAGAGAGAATAGTGTGACAGAAGGGCAGGAAGTTTGCCTATTGATATTGGTAATTAACTGAAAAAGATAAAAGAATGACAGAAAAAAATTGCACCTAGAATGAATTCGCATCAAATAGACATTTAGTGTTTACAAACACTCCTCCTATAAAAACTCCCTGTCACCCGAGGATGGGCTTAAGAAATACTGTCCTCTCCCTCAGTGTGGGTGGGCTGCAGTTCACACTGAGAATGGACTACAACTCACTAGCAATGGGAACTTTTGCAAAAGAAATTACTCTTGCTGGACAGTAATTAGAGAACATTCTCAGCTGGGGTGTAGCTCAGTGTAGATATTTGCCTCGAATAGACAAAGGCCTAGACTCAACTCTCAGCATTGGGATTAGAAGCGAGGGGTGGAGGTGGGAAAGAGAAGAGGAGGTGAAGAAAGATGAAGAAAAAGAGAAGAAAAAGAAGAGCAGGCAGAGGAGAAGGAGGAAAACCAGGAGAAGAAGAAAAGGGAGAAAGAAAATAAATTGCTTGACATAAACAAGAAGATAGTATAGAAAGTAATTTAGAGATATATGTTGGGGGGGTGATGCAGAGAACCTACTCTGAAAGAGACACTCAGAAAGAAAATGGTAAAACTCTATCAATATATCCTCACTACCACATACAGGAATCTACAGTAAAGAGGAAGTGTTCTTCAAATAAAGATCCTGGTGATGAACCAGACCCAACTACCCAGAACTCACACAGCCCATATTAAAATGCTGTATCAAATTCCCTTTGCTCCCATTCAAAATGAAGAAATATGCATACAATTCCTAATTTGATTTCTAATAATTAGCAAGTAGGTGTCCTGGAGGAAGACTCACCATTTCAGTCATAGGGATAAGCTATCTTACTGTGAGATGGTAAACTATTTCTTTTGGTCTATTATTCTCATGGGTACTTGAGTGGTACCAAATGATTTCCTGGAGGCTTACCTAGAGGAAGATATGACTGACTAAGCCTTCTCATTGTAAGCAGAGCCCCAAAAAGCTAGAATTCCAGTGACTCACAGACCAGAGCTCACCTGAGCCATCAGTGCTGAAAGCCTACTCAAGAATGTACTGCAGAACTCAGCAGAAGCATGAGTCCTGCTGGCCTCCTAGAACTTGGAAAGTGAGTGGAGGGAGCCAGAATCTGTAACTCACCTCTGGAAAAGAAAGGTGTTCCCTTTCTTAAGTTCAGCTGTCATTGGTTGGTTTTCTTTTCTTTTTCTCAGATAACTCAGGATAGCCCAAACTCACTATATCACTAAGGAGGATCTTGAATTTCTGATTTTCCTGCCTATACCACTCAAGCACTGGAAATAACAGTACCACTCTTGGCTTTAAAACATTTTTAGGTTTTGGTTTTTTTTTTTTAATAAAATTCACTACCACCATTTGGCCATTGAAAGAGAAAAAAATGGAGATGGAGATATATTTCAGCAGCAATGTGATTGCTGTCATGAGACAACAAATGGGGAGGAGAGAGGGAGTGGGAGAGAGAGAAAGAGAAAATGAATGAATGAATGAATGAATGAATGAATGAATCTCTGTGCTCATGTGCTTTCAGTTACAATGCTCCTGAAAGAGACCACAGGTCCTCCATATTGGTCACAGCTCCACAGAACTTCCCCATCACCACCACAGGTCCCCACAGTCTCCTTCGCTTCCTCCTCACTTGCATGCCATCTAGCCTAACCCCTGCTTCTCTAGTCTCTAGATCTACCAAAGATGGAAAGAGTCAACTACACACTCTTGACTGAGTTCATCCTCACAGGAGTTCCCCACCCTCCAAGGCTGAGGACATTCCTGTTGGTGTTCTTCCTGCTCATCTACATCCTGACTCAGCTGGGGAACATGCTCATCCTGGTCACTGTCTGTGCTGACACACAGCTCCATGCGCGCCCCATGTACATCTTCCTTGGGGCGCTCTCTGTCATCGACATGGGCATCTCTACCATCATTGTCCCCCGTCTCATGATGAATTTCACTCCAGGCATTAAGCCCATCCCATTCGGGGGATGTGTGGCCCAACTTTATTTCTATCACTTTTTGGGAAGCTCTCAGTGTTTCCTATACACCACAATGGCCTATGACAGGTACCTGGCCATATGCCAACCCCTGCGTTACCCAGTCCTCATGTCTGCTAAGCTGAGTACCTTGCTGGTGGCTGGAGCTTGGGTGGCTGGCTCAATCCATGGAGCAATCCAAGCCATTCTAACCTTTCGCTTGCCCTACTGTGGTCCCAACCAGGTAGATTACTTCTTCTGTGACATTCCTGCAGTTCTGAAGTTAGCCTGTGCAGATACCACAGTCAATGAGTTGGTGACCTTTGTGGACATTGGAGTGGTGGTTGCCAGTTGTTTCTCCCTGATCCTTCTTTCCTACATCTATATCATTCGGGCCATCCTGAGAATACGCACAGCTGATGGGAGGCGAAGGGCCTTCTCAACATGTGGAGCCCATGT